TACTACACACACACACACACACACACACACACACACACACACACACACACACACACACACACGCACGCACCTGTGCGCTTGCGCGGGCAAAGGAGTAAAAGAAAGTCTGTGATGTGGAATCAGTACCGGGAAAACCAACGCTGTACACGTTCTCCCAGTAGTAGTCTCGGGGCAGCACTGATTGTTGATGGGCGGGTGGATGAGTGGATGAGTGGTTAATGGTACGTGGTGCAGGTTGAGAACAGATGACAATGTCGGCGCATTCGGCTTATCAGCAGGCACGTATCCACGCACAAAAACGCACGCACTCCATGGGCAAGAAGCATCCCATGTCTAAACACACCGTGTTGTGCATGGAGGACATGCGTGAAGACGTCGTGGATAACGGAGTTGCTCACGCGCCCGTCAAACTTGCGCGCAAAGAAGTTTGGCGCAGACGGGAGCGACTGAAGGTGGCGAGTGCGAATGTTTGTGTGTGTGTGTGTGTGAGCGCGCGCGCGAGAGAGAGAGAGAGAGAGAGAGAGAGAGAGAGAGAGAGAGAGAGAGAGAGAGAGAGAGAGAGAGAGAGTGTGTGTGTGTGTGTGTGTGTGTGTGTGTGTGAATGATTAAATGAGTGAATGTGTGAGTAAGAGTATGCGAAGGAAACAAGTTGTGATTGCGGTTCGTCATAGAAGTACTTTGCACATGTGCGTGTGTTTGCGGAAAAGGAGCAATTACTGACCTTGAGCAATCGTAGATCGTCCGCAATGAAGACGTTTGGGGAACAGCCACACCAGTCAACGAGATGCTTGTACTGCCAGAGACGTGACGCAGAGTTGGAGGGAGAGAGTTTTTGTGTGTGTGCGTCGTCATCTCGCGAGCGATTGCTTGTGTTGTGTGTGCGTCTGTGCACGTGCCTTTTGTGTACGAGACAAGACATGCAAGCACAGGCAACCACCAGCGGCCACGACATCAAGAACACCATTCCCACCTGGCATTTGCACCCGAGACTGCCGCGCCAGTTGGCAAAGCGAAGATTGGAAGAGATGAACCGAGAGCAAAACCTGTACCCCCCCCCCCACACACACACACAAAGAGAAAGAATCGTTGGATGAGGAAACACCTTGGGAATGGCGTTGGCAAGCAGCTTGAGAGAGACAGGTGTGCAGATTCACACACATGCGTTTGTTCACAGTTCAGCGACGTGTTTTGTCAGCGCTTACTCTGAGTTGTATGCGATAATGTGGAAGTAGGACTCTGCTGACAGCAGCGAATGGTCGTAGTAGCGCCTGCACAACACCAACACATGTGATGCGCGTTCCATGCTGTGAGATCGGCTGGCAAAGCGCTGGAGACAAGCAAACAGCCGCATTCGCGTTGTCGAACAAAGCACAACATGCCACGCACACAGACACACAGGCGGACAGGCAGCCAGACAGATACACACACATAAAACACACACACACACAACAACAACAACAACAACAACAACAACAACAACAACAACAACAACAACAACTACGAAGCAGACCTGACTTCGCGAACAAGTTGGGAGGAGCCGACAGCAAAGTCTGCGAGGGAGCGGTGGAGGATGAACCAGTCGCTGCCGCCGGCAATTCGCAGCGACGGCGGCAGGCGGCGCACGCCAATGCGGTGCATGTGGTGGTCGCACTGCACAAACGTCCGGTCAAACCCTGGCATGGTCGTGGGCGGTGATGGGTGGTGCAATGGAATGTAGACTGAGTTATGCGTGTGTACACACTTAGGGATAGACAGGCGGGCATGTACGCAGGCAGGCAGACGCACACACACACACACACACACACACAAATCAAAAGTAGATGCACACGCTGAATCACCACTTCCACCACACCAACAGCGAGGTTCCGCACCTTGCTTGCGAATAAAGCGTTCATGGTTTGAGCCGTGGGAGGTGAGGAAGCTGTAGCCGAGACCGACATACTGTCCAAGGAAGGCGGCCAGGTCATCAATTGGCCTGGAGAGGAGAGGAGAGGGTGGTGAACGTGTGGTGGTGGTGAACGTGTGGTGGCGGAGACAAAAAAAAGAAGAAGAAGAAGAAGAAGAAGAAGAAGAAGAAGAAGAAGAAGAAGAAGAAGAAGAAGAAGAAGAAGAAGAAGAAGAAGAAGAAGAAGAAGAAGAAGAAGAAGAAGAAGAAGAAGGGGTGAAGGCGGTGTTGAAGAGAGGCGAAAGAAAGATGGAGACAGTCATCAATGGCAGTGGCAAACAGGACCAACGCACATGAAACAAACCAAACAAGTAGACACAAACATACATACACACACACTGACACGCTGACACAGACAGACACACACACACACACACACACACACACACGCACACACACACACACACACACACAAAATGCAGTCCATGTGCGCACCTGAGAGGAAGGTCAGCGCCGCTCAAGTTGACAAAATAGTCCCATTCGTACTGCTGCAGGTATCGAATGCCCTCTGAATAGACCTGGGTAAAGTACAGCGCGACAGAAGCAGTGATGGCAGGAATAAGTTGACACCCACATCACACAGACACAGACACAGACACACAGACACACAGACACAGACACACAGACGCACAGACACAGACAGACACACATACACACGCACACAAGCACCTGGTAGAGGTTGGCGGCGCCCCAGATGGAGTCGAGGCGAAACGGCGCCACGTGAACGTTCGCAATCCCGCCCGTCTCCTCAAGCAGTTTCTCGTACAGATATGCAGACCTGGCGTGAAGTAGCAGGAGAAAAAGAAGGGGGGGGGAGGCAGAGGTGGTTGGAAACAAGAACGTTGGCACTTAAATAGACAGGCGGACAGACACAGCCACACAGACACACACACACAGTCATACACATACACAGACACAGACAGACACACAAACAGACACACACAGACACACAGACACACATACACACAGACACACAGACACACATACACACAGACACACACACCCTTCTGTCTACACGAACCGTTCGTCGACGTGGATGAGGTAGATGTGCTGGGGCTGGTACAGGGCTGCTATGAGCTGCTTGATGGAGTTGACGGCGCGGCCGTGCACGACAATCATCACCGCCAGTCGCACGGGCGGTGCCACAGGCATTATCACATCCTGCAGCAACACGCAGGCAACGCGGAAACAGTGGGTCAGACAAAGCATGGCCACGACAAACAGGTACCACTACAAACGTTAGTTCGCTCACCAACGCGCCGTCGGCAGCGCCTGCTTTGTTGGTCTTGTCAACCTGGCTCCTGCCTTCCCGCTCTTTCTGGTTGTGCACGCGCAAGTTGTCAATAGACATCGGATCTTTGCACGCCTCGGTGTCTGCTGTTGTGTGAATGTCTGGCGGGTACAGGAAGCCGCGCTGATACATGCACGCAGCACGGTGGATGGCGCGACGACACTGGCTCGTCACCGCATTCTGACGCCATCAGAACAACAGAGATGCATGGAGTGAGGCAGGGGGCGGGGGAGGCAGCGGTGAGTTGCCGAAACGTTGCACTGCAAGCGATGGCTGGAAGAGAACACTTGGCAATCATGTGGGTGAATCGACCGAGGGATGCAATGTGTGCACGACAGGTCAGCAGCAATACACCTCCGCAAACGTACGCACACACGCACGCACGAATACAAACACACACACACACACACACACACACACACACACACACACACAAGCACGTACGCCTTTGGCTGCTTTGGCGTCTTCATCTGATAGCTCGCATGAGAGAAAGTTGTCGTTCTCCAATAGCACGTGTTCCAGTGCGGTGCGAAGTACTGGCGCGTCCTTGTCGACGACGTCCTCTCCCTTGGCGGCAGCAGCCCACTGTTCAGCCAGGCTGTGTGCTGTTGATGCCGGCGCTGCAGCTTCGTTTTGGCCATCAGATGGTGGTGGCATTGGCGCCACATCTTCCTCCCGAAGAAGAGCCAGCCACTTGAGGAATGGCAGCGTCGCACGCACGTCCGCTGGCGAATATGGCCAAGGAAGTTCATCCATGGCGCCCACATCGCGCATGTTTTCCAGTTCCAGCGGCGACCTGTGTTGAGAAGCGCGAAAGTGGAGGGGGGGGGATAAAGGGAGTCGTTGCGTATGAGAAGCATACAGCCCACTGAAAGAAACGCTGCAATTGTATGAAACCGAGGATGCGGCACAAGCAAGGGGCAGGGAGACAGAAAGGCAGCGAGGGAAAACGAGACGGGCAGAGAGGACAAAGAGAGCGAGGGAGAGAGACAGGGGCCGAGAGAGAGAGAGAGACAGGGGCGGAGAGAGACAGGGATGGAGAGAGGCGCAGGTACTACATGCGCCCACACACAAACACACACCCCCCCACCCCCACCCACACCCACCCACACACACACACACACCCACACACACCACCCACACCACACACCCACACCACACCACACCACACACCCAAAGCATGCCTACCGTTAGATTGACCAATAGTGAGGGGGCTCCGGCAGCGGGGATACTGTCCCTCTTAGATATTCTAGTGTCTCTTCCCAGCTCTAAGACCATTGGTCGGGCCTTCCCGTAACGAATGCAGCCATAACGAAGCTGGGCACCCAAGCTTATGCGATCCTATGAATAACATTCAGGCTATAGAGCAGTACCATGTTCTCCTGAGTGCCGGGCAATCTAGAGGATATCTAGAAGCACTTGACGCGATTGCTTGCCCAGGGTTGAACAACCCACACACACACCCACACCCACACACCCACACCCACACCCACACCCACACACCCACACCCACACCCACACACCCACACACACGAGTGCGCATGACCCTGACCCTGACCATGGCTGTGTTCCGAGGAGGTTGTCACGATATGGGTTGTTGGCAGCGATGGGGTCACTGGAATCCTCCTCTCGTGTCTGGCGATTGTGCTGGAGAAGAATGTCGCGCGCGTTCAGGGAGCGTGTGCGGTTCTGATGTTGGCGGTTCACAAGGAACAATCCCAAGAGCACAAACAGCGCCACTGTGAGCACGCGGTTCACAGCCCGCAGCCAGCGTTGGCCGCCTCTCCACGCCGATAACCGCCACCACCACCGCATCGCGTTGTTGTTGGTCATCTTTGTCACGACGCGACGAAATTCTGTAATGATTCCAACAACTCTTCCACAACAGTCACCAACAAGGTCGAGCGAGACAAGCGAAAGACAAAAAGGTGGACACACACACAGACACACACACAGACACACACACACACTGACACAGACACACACGCAGACACACACACACATACTGACACACACACACACACACACACACACATAGAGGCACAACCCAAAGCTCAAAGATAGTGATGTGATACCCTCGGTACGTCACGTTCAGCTCCACTCCACATGCTTGCTTGGTTCAAGGCTGCTCCTTTGTAACATCAAAGTCTGTCACTTGGCTCTCGTCGTTCAGGAATAGCGTCCTGCAGAATCACCAAAGCACAACAGCAGCACACCGTGAGCATTCATGCGCAGCAACAGATGGTGTCGCTCACATGCAGCAACCACACCAAAGAACACTCGACAAAGCAAGCGAATCCAAAGGAGGTGCAAAGCAGTCGGTCATAAAGCCCCCTCCCCGTCCCAAACAAAACACACGCACGCACACGCACACGCACGCAAACCTACCCGTCAGCGTTGGTGCTCTGGGCGTTGGTGCGTGCCGCAGGCATTGGTGTGCCTGTTGCGGACTGGTGGCTAGACGATGGGTTCTTGGTCAGCGTGGAGGAGAAGACAGCAGAGTTGTCTGCCTCCAGCCGCTCCTGTCGAATCTGCGCGCCGAGCCGTCGCACCTGCGAACCAAGCCCGCTCAGGCGCGGGTCATAACCGGACGACGTCATGCTGGTGTTGCCGTGCAGGCCACTGCCGCCACCGCCACCGCCACCGCCTGTCGTGTTCATCAGCAGCGACTGATCGCGCGCCCTGTCCAGCACACGCATGCTGCGGTCCTGGGCCTCGAGGTGCCGCTGCAGGTCAGTGGCCAGACGGGACTGGTCACGCCGCGTGCGCGACTCCAGCGAGCGCTTCTGCATCTGCAGCTTGGCAATGTCGTCCTCCAGCGCGGCCACGCGCTTCTTCAGCGTCACCACCTGCCGCTCCTTCTCGCGCACCGCAGACACCTGCTGCATCAGCTGCGACTGCAGGTTCTTGCTCACCTCCCGCTGCCGGCTCGTCTCGCGGTCCGCCTTGGCCTTGTCCTCGTTGAGCTGCCGCAGGTTGGCGTCCATGCTCACCAGCGCCTCCCGCTCCTTGGCGTGCCGCGCCTTGAGCACCTCAATCTGCCGCTCCAGGTCCGCAATCACGGCCGCGTTGTTGCGCTTCTCCCTGTTCGCCTGCGCCTTCTGCTGCAGGTTCTGCTGCTGCGCGCGCTCCAGCTCGCGCCGCTGCTCGTCAACCTCCCGCCGAAGCACCTCCACCTCGTACGCCGTGTTGCGGTGCCGCTGCTGCGCTGCCTCGTGCTCGGTCAGCTGCCCGCTCGCCTGCTCAAGCTCCCCGCGCATGCGTGCCACGTCCTCCTTCAGCTTGTCCTCGCTGTCCCGCGCGCGCTCCAGGTCCGCCTGTACGGCGCTGAGCAGCGACGACACGTGGTCCAGCTCGCCCTGCTTGTTGCGCGCCTGCGCCGTGGTCTCCGTCACCTCTGCGTTGAGGCGGGCCACCTCGCGCGACGCGTACGACGCCTCCTCCTCCGCCTTCTCCCGGCGACTCGTCTCCGCCTGCAGCGCCTGCTTCAGCCCGTCACGCTCCACAGCGGCAGCAGCGTGCTCTCCGCGCACCCTGTCCAGCACGGCCTCCGTGTCGCGCAGCTGCCCGCGCATGTCGCTGATGCGGTCCTGCGCCTCGTACAGCTCCGCCCGCAGCCCTTCCATCTGCTTGTGGAAGTTCTGCTTCTCCGTGGAGAACCCTTGCTTGACAGAGTCCAGCACGGCGCTCAACTGCGCCTGGTTGGCGGTGGCGGCGGCGGCCTGGTCACCGAGCTCCTCCTGCAGCGCCGTGATGCGCGCACGAAGATCGCCGTTCTCCCGCTCGAGCGCCTCGGCCCGCTCCGTCGTCGTGCTCAGCCGCGTTTCCAGCGCAGCCGCGTTGTTCTTCCCCGCGCGCTCGTTGGACTGCAGCCGCGACACCTGCTCCTCCTTGGCTGCCACGTCCTCGCGCAGCTGGTCCACCTGCTCCCGGTAGTCCCCCGCCGCCTTCTCCAGCTCCCGCACGCGCGCCTCCAGCGCGTCCCGCTGCTGCGCCGTGTCCGAGAACGTGCGCGCGATGGTGCGCAGCTGCTCCACGGGCTCCTTCGCCTGCGCGTCCCCAGCGGGCTGCTTGCGCGTGACCTCGTCAAAGTACCGCCGCACGCTGTCGCGCAGGGCCTGCAGCTCGGCCCCAAACTCCGACCGCTCCGCCTCGCTGCGTCGCAGGTCATCTTCCAGCTTCTCCACCTCGGCCGCGTGCCGTGTGCGCAGTGTGGCCATCTCCGTGCTCGTCTCGTCCGTCAGGCGCGTGGACGCCGCCTTGGTGTCCTGCAGCTGTGCGGTCAGGCGCTCCACGTCCTGCTTCAGCGCATCCCGCTCCTCAACAAGGCGCCCCACCTTCCGCTGCAGGGCTGCCTCCGTGTCCGCGCGGTGCTGCCGCTCGCGCATCACGTTCTCGTCGTGCGCCTCTCGCTCCCGCGCCAGCTCAGACTCCAGCTGCGCACGCGTCGACGTCAGCTCCCGCTGCAGCGCCTGTGCACGCAGCTCAAGCGCCGCCTTTGCCTCCTGGGCCTCCTCCAGTGCACGCGACTGCCGCGTGTTGGCGGCACTCAGCTCGCGCGACTCTGCGCCGTGCTGCGCCTTGAGGTGCGACACCTCCGCGTCCAGCTGTTCCACGTTGCGCCGCAGCCGGTCGCCAGCCTCCTTGAAGGTCTTCCGCTCCTCCTCAAACGCCTCGCGCGCCGACGCCAGCTCTTCCTCCTTGAGGTCCAGTGCCGTTGCAAACGCCTGGGCGCGGTCCTGCTGGGCAGCGGTGTCCGCCTGTGCCGCGGCAATGTCGTGCTGCAGCTGTTCCACCTCGCGTGCGTGGCGTGTCTTCATGGCCTCCACCATCTCCTGCAAGTGGGCCACGTCGCGCTCGTGCTCCTGCTGCTGCCGCTCACGCTCATCAAGCGCTTGCTCCTGCTCCTGCTGCAGGCGCCGCTGCAGGGAGTCCACCTCTGCCGCAAGCTCCTTCTCCCGTTCTGACAGTTCCTTCTCCCGCTTGGCGAGGCCCTGCACGGTGTCGTAGGCCTCCTGCAGCGCGTCGCCCTGCTTCTGCAGCTCCTGTTCGTGGCGCCGCAGCACGCCCACCATCTCCTCCTCGTGGCTCTTCTCCAGCTCCTCGTACTGCTTCTCGTGTGCGTCGCGCATGTTCCTGAACTCGCCCATGAGCCGCGTAATCTCCTTGTCCTTCTCCCTGCTCGTCTCCTCCTGCCGCTGCAGCTGCTGCTCAAGTGCACGGCACTCCCGCACCAGCGCCTCGGAGCTGCTGTCCACCATCCCCTGCAGCCGCGTGACCTCCTGCTCGTGCTGCTCCTTCTCCCGCTGCAGCACCTCCTGCAGGCCCTGCACCTCCGCCTCAAAGTTGGCTTCCAGCTCCAGCGCCCGCCCATGGTTGTCCTCTGTTGCCGCCTGCAGCCGTGCGACATTTGCCTCTGCAATGCGCAGCTGCGCCTCCACCTCGTCCCGCTGCCGCGCCGTGTTCTCGGCCTCAACCTCAAGCTCCAGCATGCGCTTGTACAGGCTGTCCTCGCTCGCGTCGTGCGCGGCGGCCAGCTCCTGCAAGCGCGTCTTCTGCCGCGCATGTAGCTCCTCCGTGTGGCGCATGAGGTCGCGAAGCTCCTCCTGGTGCCGCCGTTCCTGCTCAACCATGTGCTGCTTCAGCCCCGTCAGCGCCGAGCTCGAGTCTGATGTGCTCCCCAGCGCGCCGCGGGCCTGCGCGATAACGCTCGCAGCGCCCACGACCTCGGGTGCGCGGTGTGGCGAGCGGTTGATGGCTGCACGCGCCGGTGCCAGTCGCTGCGACGACGACGGGCTGAGCGTGTGCATGGAGTGGGCGCTGCGTGGCCGCGTTGGTGACGAGGTGGGGATGGCAGTGGAGACAGCATCGCCACGCGGCACAGACGCCTGCACGCCGCGAATGTGCTCCATGCAGCGCTCCACCTTGGTCTTTGTGCTTGCGTCGGGCGTTGTTCCTGCGGCGCGCTCGAGGTCACGCAGGATGCGGTCGAGCTCGTCGTGCAGCGCCTCCTTTGCATCCGTCATTGCAGCCAGCCGGTGCTCTGCAGACGGTGGCGGTTGGGTTTGGTTTGGTCGCGGGGGGGGGGGGCGGTAGGTGGGGAGAGGAAAGGAGAGCGAGTGAGTGAGTGAGTGAGTGAGTGTGTGAGTGAGTGAGTGAGTGAGTGTGTGAGTGAGTGAGTGAGTGAGTGAGTGAGTGAGTGAGTGAGTGAGTGAGTGAGTGAGTGAGTGAGTGAGTGAGTGAGTGAGTGAGTGAGTGAGTGAGTGAGTGAGTGAGTGAGTGAGTGAGTGAGTGAGTGAGTGAGTGAGTGCGTGAGTGACAATGAGGTTGTTAGCGACCCATGCAGCGCGCGTGCAATGTGAAAGCGAGCACGTACCCAGGTCTGAGATGAGCTGGGAGTTCTCAACCTCCAGCATCTTGAGCGTCTCGTCGTACTCCTGACCCTGCTTCATCAGCTGCTGGTCAAGCTCGTTCAGCTGGGCACAGTATCACAGCAGCGCAGAGGTTGCAGAAGGAGGTGTTGTGTGTGAATGATTCAATGGCTGCATGACTGGGTGTGGAGGAACACTTGAGTGGATGTGTATGTAAGGGCGCGTTTGAAAAGGTGTTTCTGTGCGATGAAAGACAATGGCACGGCGTGATGTGCAAGTGACAAGACAACAATTAGCAAAGCGACACGGGAGCTGCATGCGTGAACAACACTTCCATCACTCACACACCCAACCTGCTCATCAAATGCAGTCTTGTCGTGGGCGTGCACGTCCCTGGCGTGTTGCAGCTCCTCCTTGAGTGCATCTGGTTGCATGGGAAGTGCGAGACCGTGTGTGTGTGTGTATGTGTGTGCGTGCATGTATGTGTGTGTGTGTGTGAAGGGGGGGGGGTGCAACGCAATGCGAGGCACAGGCATATTCAAAAGCACGCGAGAAGCATACGGGCGCACACAAGGCAAACTGCCAGCACACTCAGTTGCCGCACCGTTGTCGGCCTCGACGTCATTGAGCTTTGAGATGAGGACGCGGGCTGCGTTGATGCTGCTCATGCCTTCCTGCACGCCGAGGACATTTCGCAGCGTATCGAGCTCTCCACTGCAGCATGCAGCAGAGCAGACGCAGTGGCCATGGGCAATTGTAGTGTGCGTTCAACATGTGCACATGTGTGTGCGTGCGTGTGCGTGTGAAGGGATTCATAGCCGTAAGAATCAGCATACGTGAACAAAATGGCGCGCAAGTGCACACACAGACACGCATACGCACGCACACACACACACACACGCACACACACACACACACACAAACAAACAAAACACGGCTTATTCGCAGCATGGCACGACGTACATTGCTTCATCAAGCTCGCCCTCGGTCTTGATGACTTTGTCCGTGAGCTCCTGGCACGTCTGGTACATCACCACGAGCTGAAGACAGCGCAGCAAGTGGCGATGAAGCACGGTAAATTGGAGGCGTAGAAGCACTTTGGAGGTGTTGCACGCGAGAGCAAAGCGTGACGGCCAAGCACGCGTACATGTGCACATGAACGTGTTTGCGCGCACTTTGCACACACACACATGTAAAACACATGAGCATGCACGCATGTACACAGACACTTCGCATACACACGCATGCACACACGCACACACATACGCACACGCACACACACACACACACACCTGCCGCCATGTTGGTGCCTCTGGTGGGACGTCGAGCTTTTGGAGATAGTCGATGATGATGTGCATGTTCTTGTGCAGCTCTTTCTCCTGTGGCGAGTTGAGTTGAGGTGGAGGTGGTCACGAAGGCGGTGAGAATTGAGGAAAAACATGAGAGGATGTGTGTGACGTGTGTTCGAGTGCAAAACGGTGTGCTGACAACCCAAAGCGTTGTCGATCATGGTGTGTGTGTGTATGCTTGAGAGGTATGGGAGACGTGGTGTGCAGATGTACAGCACCTTTGCCCGGGATTCAGTGGCGAAGACAAACTCCTCCTTGCGTCGCTTTGGAAGGCGCACGTGCTCATCGCTGTTGCCACACGGCAAACGGGTGGGCGAAGGCCAGTTGAGAGGGGAAGGGGAAGGGGAAACAGGTGAGTGGGATGGTGCATCACAAGTAAATGCAGATGAACTTGCGGATGCACACAGACAAAGACACACACACATACGCAGACACACGACAACACACAGACACAGACGACAGCACAGCACGCACAGACACAGACACAGACACATGGACGTACCGCCTGTGTTCGCGGACGGCGGTGAGGCAGGCGTTGAGCCACTGGATCTCCTCGTGCATGTGGTCCACCGTCTTGAGCAGCTGCGGGCGGTTCATCTTCGCATACTCCTGAGCACGCACGTGCACACACACACACATGGCAAGTGTGAATTAGCGCACATGAGGGAAGGAGAACTGAAACAAGCATGCGCATATACATGTTTCCCACGCAATGCAGGTCTCTCACAACATGCAGAGTGCAAAGCAAGTTTGTACTTGACATCACGACTGCGACCAGCACCACTCATAAATACAACCGCCACAATGAATTCGACTGCTGCCGCTACAACTGCTTCCATCACCACCATCACCACGTGTCCACCACTACCGCGTGGTCATGACCAAGCAATGTGTTCCATCTAACCGCGTCGAGACCAACCCTGCTGTCATCCAGGTTGTCCGCCCTGTTGCCCGTTGCAGACGGTGGGCGCCACGGCCGCCGGTGCTTGTCGGCGGAGGTTGGACGCGAAGGCGTGCCAGGCGCCCCCGTGTCCATGGCGGCTGCTGACGCGGTCGCTGCCGCGCGCTTGCGCAGGTGCGCAACCTCCTTTTCCCGCGCAGAGAGCTCGCTGCTCAGGCGAACCGTCTCGTCGTTGAGCTCGGCCACGTGCGCCTGCAGCTCCTGGATGGTGGACTGCGCCTCCGTCGCGTACTTGCGCATGTCCTCGTCGTGCTCCGCGGTGAGCGACTCAACCTGCTGCTGCAGCTGCGCCACGAGGCGTGCTGTCTCCTCGTTGCGCTCGTCAAGCGCGGATCCAGACTCGTCTTCGTTGTCCTGCGCGGTGTCGTGGTGCGTTGCGGCTGCTGCCGCGTGCGTCTCCTCCATATCGGCGATGGTCTGGAGCGCGGCGTTGAGTTTCGAGGTGAGGTCCGCCTCACGGTCCCTGGCCTGGCGCAGCTGGTCCTGGAGTTGCGCCACGCTGCTGTCCATGCTGGCGTTGGCGTCGCCCGTGCTTGGGGTGGCTGGCTCGCTGCCGCTGCCGCTGTCGTTGGCACCGGCATTTGCGTTGTTGAGCTGGTCAAACACGGTGGAGAGGTCGCTCTCCAGGTCCTTGACGGCGTCATGCAGACGCGCGTTCTCCTGCTCCAGCTCACTGGCGCGCTCCTCGGCGACAGCCACCATGTGCATGAGCTCTTCCTTCTCATGCTTCAGGCGCTGGTTTTCTTCCTGCGCCAGGGTGAGATTGTCCTCCATGCGGTTCTTCTCATCCTGCACGATCTTGAGGTCCTCGAACCTCACCCATTCCGGGACGCCTGTGCCGTCGTTCTCGTCCTTGTGATGCGCGACGCCGTTGGCGATGGGCGCCTCTGTTGAGTGGCCAGCGGTGGTCACGACATTCAGTGTGCGTCAGGATGCGTGTGTGCATGTGTGTGTGAGGGTGGATATGGGTGTGAGCGTGTGAGGGTGTGTGTGAGGATGTGCAGTGTGTGAGGATGTGCTGTGTGTGAGGATGTGTCTGTGTGTGAGGATGTGCTGTGTGTATACGTGTATGTGTGTGTATGTGTGTGACGATGTGCGTGTGCGCTTGGTGTGTGCGGATGTGTATGTGTGCAGGAGGCATTTTGCTCGCTCAAAGCACTGGCGCGCCAGTGTGCATGACAGCTTGGGAGCGCGGCAACGTGCATGTTACAACACAAAAAGGAAGCTTTCTTGAACAAGAAGTGACATGGGTCCTTGGGGCCCACATGCATGTGCGTGTGTACGACTCACCTTCCTCAAGGCGCTCGCTGCGATCCATCCTTCACCCTTTGCTTCCCAGTGAACACGCACACCAAGTCCGAGCAAGCAAGGTGCGGCAAAACAAACAGCAAGCAGCGCAAAAGCAGTACGCAAAGGAGAAGAGGTGCGGGTGTTGTTGTTGTTGGGAAGAAGACGCAGAGGGACAACAAGAACAAGAAAAATAACGAGTATCACAAATGAAATTCTTGCCATACAACCAAGACAAGAATAGAGAGCAAGACAAAGGTTGGTTGAAGAGACAGGACTTTTGCTGGACTGTGTGGCTGTGGCGGCTCTGCTCTGACGGTCCTCGTTGGCACTTCGCTTCACCCATTTCTCTTCTGTTGCCACAACTTGCTTGCTTGCAGGTGACCGCGTTCACCGGCACCCCATAAGTGCAATTGCTTTGTGTCTCAAACACACACACACACGCACACATGCACACGCACACACACCACACGCACACACACACACACAGATTGCCATGTCGGACGACGCACCACAGCAAACCCGCGCTGGGTTTATTGCCAAGTTCAAGGCGGCGGGCTTTGATGACATTGAAGTGCACGAGGTGAGGGGGCGAATGGGGCGCTCCTTCTCGCGTGCTCCTTCTCGCGTGCTCCTTCTCGCGTGCTCCTTCTCGCGTGCTCCTTCTCGCGTGCTCCTTCTCTCCTCGTGTGGTTGTCTCTCCTGCTCTATCCTTGCATGTTCTTCTGTCCTGATCCTTCATCTCACGCCACGCTCATCTCCTGCACGCCGTGTTTGCATTCTGCGTGCAGGCGCCGGATGGACAACTGCTGTTTGAGCTGCATGGGGAAGCGGAGGATCGCTTGATGGAACAGTTTGTGGCCAAGCTGCAAGAGGCAAGGGCGAGCCAGCCGGAGAGGCCCGGGCAGTCTTCACCGTTCTATCTGAAGGACGATTCGCCAGAGGGCAGGTTCTGGCAGCGCGCCTGCCTGCGAGCCCGCAAGTTTGACGTGGACCGCGGCATGGACCTCTATCTCAGCTACCTGGACTTTCGAGCAGAGTTTGGCACAGACGATCCAAACGATCCCGATGCAGAACAAACCGTCGAGCTCCTCAAGACCAACTTTGCTCGCTGCTGCGGCAACACCGACAAAAGCGGCAGGTGCGTGTGTTTGTGTTTGTGTGTTTGTGTGTTTGTGTGTGTGTGTGTGTGTGTTTGTGTGTGTGTGTGTACACCGTGGTTTGTTGATGGTGAAGATATGCACACACGCCCACGCACGTGCACACACACACGCGCACGCACGTGCACACACATATACGTATGTGTCTCACACCGCTGTGTGGCATGTACATCACTCATTCACCCCCTTTGGACTGTTTCGTTGCACTTCACAGGTACATCTTCAGCTTTGATGCTGGTGACTTCAAACCATCGCTCTGGACCCCTCGCATCTGCGCAAGGGTGCGTCGTCGCCGCCGGAATGTGCACGCTAGAGGACACGTAACAGCCACAGTCACACAGTCACTGCCACACAGACGCAGACGCAGTCACAAACACACACACACACACACACACACACACACACACACGCACACAGTCACGCAGTCACATACAAGCCTGTGCCGGTGCTCACATGCTCACCATCTGACTCCACCCCCCCCCGGCGCCTTCCGTCGTCCCGCGGCTGTGTTGGTGTCAACAGGTCATCCACCACATTGTTGTCAATGCGACGGCCCGCTACCCGGACCTCCCCGCCCGTGGCATCGTCACCATCGGCAACATGCGGGTATGAACGAGCGCCTGACATCCTGGCTCGCGCATGTGTGCATGTGTGCGTGTGTATGTGTGTGTGCATGTGTGCGTGTGCATGTGTGTGTGTGTATGTTTATGTGCCTCGTGAATGCATGCCGACGTGTGTGCAACAGCAGCAGCTGCGCTGTCTTGATCACAGTGTCTTTGCTGATTGTCACTTTGCTGTTGCATGATGTCAGGGCTGGGGGTACAGCAACTTTGATCCAGAGACAGAGAAGATTATCATGAGTGCGTCGGCGAACCTTGAGTGCTGCGCCACGTTTGACATGACGTGCTGGCATGGCTTGTTTTGATGCGACGCTTACGTTGCTCACACACACACACACACACACACACACACACACACACACACACAATGGCAGAGCTGCTGACGCGGTCGCTGCCGGTGCGGCAGGGGACGATGTACATCTTCGACGCGCCGTGGGTCATGCGCATGGTTCTCCCCGTCATCAAAATGTTCATGAAGAAGAAACTCAGGGTGTGTTGTGTGTGTGTGTGTGTGTGTGTGTGTGTGTGTGTGTGTGTGTGTGTGTGTGTGTGTGTGTGTGTGTGTGTGTGTGTGTGTGTGTGTGTGTGTGTGTGTGTGTGTGTGTGTGTGTGTGTGTGTGTGTGTGTGTGTGTGTGTGTGCGTGTCTGTGG